ATGAAAAAATTAATTCAGCTGGAAAAGACATATTTTGGGGCCCTACTTTTCTACCTAATCCTTCTTTCCTTGGAAAAAGCGCTAGTCACAATGACCAAAAAAGCACTCACATCACTGTCTACCTTCTCAATACCCCCAGCAAAACAAGCTGTATTTTAAAAGTGTGGTTTTATCACTGTAACTGTATCTACATTAAGGGATTCCACTGGCAGAGTTGCACTAGGCAAGGATGAACATGCTGATTAATGCAGCTGTCATTTCTGCTACAAATGCTTGGGACCTTATAAGCACGTCCACAGGGAGTTAAAGCCACATAATCACATTGCAAATCCATGCCCCCTACTTAATATCAGTTTAATTTTCCTAAGCAGATGACCCTTAAGGGTCACAGGCAAGAAAACATGAACTATAACTTCCCAACTTGACAATTCATTGTCATTTTTTCCACAAGAAAGTACCAAACGAAGGTACATTCTCATATACAACACATTCTCTTGTACAGTCAACCCACAAAAAAACCAACAAAAACAGAACAAAAACACAGAGAGGAGAAGGAAAGAGAAAAATCTGAGCTCCATGTTAGGAAAAAAAAAATCTCAATGCAGGTGCTGCGAGAAAGTAAACAATGACATGGAAAATACAGGGATGAAGTGCAACATTTTGGTTTTGAGGTTTTGAATAGGAAATAAAGTTTCTGTCATAACAAACATTTTAAACAGAGACAGTCCACTAAAGCTAGCACATAATTTAAGTAAAATGTATGATATAGTATCTGATGGCTCTTAAAGCTAAGGTAGCAGATTTCGTTTGAAACTAGCTACGACTCTAAAGGGAGTTTCATACAAGAATACTCTCACATCCCTTGCGACATTAAAAAATCCAATATGGCAAAACATACATGACACAACTCAGGGTCATGGAAGGGATTTTAATATGGGCCTTTTGTTATCCTGTTACTCTTCTGGGAATCAGCTTAATCTGCAAATCTCTCAATCACTCATACTGAAAATCTTAAAGCTGTTAAAATACCTCAGGCATTGTTCTGTGGCTTGCAGTATGCTCTGGAAGGTAAAGGGCAAAGAATTAACAGAGATGCACCCAGCCACTTGAGTGAAAATGAAAGGCAATCTGAACCTGAGGCTAGCTTCTCAGAAGATACATGAACTGGACAGCTAGTCACAGCTTCAAGCTTGGCAAGATGCTATTGGGTTTTTGCCCTTCAAAACGCAAACTTGGCATTTAAAAATGTCTGCAAGATCGTTTTACCAGACCAGGAGCTAGCACTGCCATCCTTTGGTGCCACCTTCTAGCAAACCTCACACTTCCAAGGGATTCAATGTAACTTTGGCTTTGCAAAAGGAAATAACCAAGGAGAAGGGAGCTCCTAGATGCCAAAGCAGCTCCTTCCAAAGGAAGGGACCTTTAATAATCCAAATCTTCATTATTACTCTCCTTATACACTGACAGTGGACAGCAGGCCTCTCGGAATACTCTACCACACCAGCCAGTTCTGTTCTGAAGGTTTGAAACAAGAAAACTCCTCCTATTCAAATGAAGTGAAGAATCAGACAAACGAAGCCTATATTTAACTTCCTATTCACTGCAGCAGTTGCAAACAAGTTCTTGTAAACACTCTACAGGTCACAAATTTCCAGTATCTTATCTAAATGTTAAGCTGCTGAAGTAGAGCTCAAAGCTCCTTCCACAACAGGGTTTCTAGAGTACCGCTTACCTAGCCAGTGGCCTCAGTCATTGTAACAGAGCTGTAAAGCCAAAGCAAAAAGAAAATAATTTGTTAAACCTGATCTATTGTCAAATTGGCTTGCGTCTATTTATTAAAGTGCAACACCTTCATATACATGTATAAATAAATAAATTGCTTTTGCCCCATATGCTAAAAAAGCACAGCACACATTCATTTGGAAGACACACAGACTGTGGCAAGTTTGCTTTTAATAGCAGGTCTGTCTCAAGTGTATAAAAGCTACTTTGATTTTTCACAGCTTAAATTCTTCTAAAGATACTGGAACACCGTGTTGCAGCTTCCACAAAACATCAGTCTGCCGAATCAGATGTATTCTCACAGCCGTCTGGGTTACAACACATCATGGGCCATATATTGCTAGGGAAAGCAAATTTACTCTTTAGTTTTCTTCTTCAGTTCAATACAGTATGATAACAGGTGCCAGAAGTGCACCCTCTCAGACTGAAAGACACAGACTAACAAGCACTACGCGTAGAAAATAACACACAGTTCTCCTCTTTGACGATCGTTAAGAAAACTGCAGATGATACCGAACCTGAAACAACAGAAACTGCTCTGCACTCACGGAAGAGTCAACCTGCCAAGCTCACTACCACAAGACACTGACCTTATCAGAATTTTTAAAAGGTTTTGAATTTTCTTCTGGTTGTCATGTCACAACAGGATGAAGTACAAAAAACACGAAGTCTGGAAACACTTCACATCTAACTTGTAACCCTTAATTGCCAGCTTTTAGGAAGATATTTTAACTGCTGTGAATAAAGAGCTTGGTTTACTTTTGGCTGGTGAATGATACAATGCCCTTAACTATGTTAAATTAGAATATTTGAGTCGAGCTGCATTTACAAATCAGAATTAATTTTTAAGACAACCAGTTTTCGTTATTAGGTGAACCAAGTTGTCAATAGGTTCACTGTATTCTCAACTCCTGAAATACATATGAAAGTGTCAGTCCTAAGGATGCTACATGACTAATGAACAGACCACAGGAACAGAAATACCTGCGATCTTACTTAACTAAAGCTAAGAACAATTAAGGGGAAAACCAGAAACCCTGAGTGCTGCTATTACAGGAAAAAAAATACCAGCGTGCATAGCACCTGAAGAAGAAAGAGTGAAAACTAATCAGATTCCACATGGTGCACAACAGTGGTACTTATTCAGTCTGACTAATGGAGTTAGAGGTTTTCTCTCAGTTCTGTAAAAATAAAAGATGTGTAAAGCATGCCTGATAATGCTTATTGGTTCAGATTTAGCTTACCTTCAAATTTTAATAACTGTATTCAGGTCAATGCTTGTGGTAAGAACTGTGAAATATTAAGACCTCAATTACATAAACAAGATTTGTACCCAACCAAAGAAAGGGCCACCTGCACAGCATAAGAAAAAACACTTACGGTATTTGGTCCAACTGGGAAACAAAGCAAACCATTCCAATATTTGCAAAAGTAAGGGTATCCATAATCATTTTGTATATGGTCACATTTAATCTAAGCAAAATCTGCATATTCACAATTAACCTGATGGGGGGTTTATTGTTGGAGGTGTGGGGGCGTTTAAGAAACTATCTAAAAACACCTGCATATGTAGTGTTTCAACACATACTGAGCTTCAGACTGCTTTAACAACTCTTTTGGGACAGACTCAAAAGACTGAAGTTAAAAGTTCCCCCCCCCCCCACCCCCCGTACATTTGTGGGATGAGAGAGTCAACCCCCACAAATCTGACAGGAGTACCTTCCTCAGATCTGCCACGTAGCTTTACACAGACCACAGTTCGGAAAAGCAAAATACACCCTCCACTAGGCAGCAAGTGTTGTGAGGGCCTTCCAAAGCTCCAGGACTTTACCAGTTTTACTTACAATCCACGACAGTACTCAAACCAACACAAGAGCACAATACCTCATCTTCTGCAATAGCTCCAACATTTTCATTGAAGTTACTCTTTGGTTTGATTCAGTCACTGACTAAGACACAGGACTATGTAGCCCCCTAGGCTTCTCTCCCAAATCCTTCCTGCTTTAAATAACTCACTGACATCTGCATTCACTGGTGCACTGATTTTGGTGCTCGAAGCTGCTTATCGCCTATAGTTAGCTGTAATGAGATCATGACTGCCTCCCCACAAGTGCTTAAGCTGCTTAGACAGTACTGTCAAAGGACACAGAACAAACAGCCAGCCCTATCTTCTTGTGCCTGTCTAAGATTTCTAAACTCACTTTTTGGAACATTTGACAAGACTTTGATACCAACAGTGAACAACGCTAATCGGAATTAAAGATTACATTGTATTTTGCATAAACCCACTCTGGCAGTTTAAAAAAATGGGAAAAATGCAGCTCAGCGTAGAACTGGGGGGGGGAGAAATGTCACAGCAGACTGTATGAGCTATACAGTAGTTCACCTTTAGATCAGCACTTAAGTCAGCTGTGACAAACACACAGGAGCATCCCCTGCAGAGAAGGCACCGCATCTCTCCTCTCCCCGCCCCAGGAAGGTAGTTGTAGAGGTCATCATCATCTTTGGTCATTACCTGCTGCACTTCAAACTAGCAAAGACCATTAGTCACACAGGTCAGTGGCCTCCCCACCAGAAAAGTGAACTGTGCGACACAACCACTATTTAAACACGCTGTCTCTCAAGAAAACAAGGTCATTTGAGTCTGCTGGCAAACGAATGCTAATACCACAGGTACTACTACTGAGTCATATCTTTGTTGATAAAGAACTGGGGGAAAACGGATATGCTAGACTTTCTTCCAAATTTAAACAGCACAAAGTAACCCCTTTCAGCCTGGAAGATTATCAAGCCAGCCTATCATCTTCCCGCAAACTAACCTCAGAATAGAAAGGAAAAAATAAAAACCAGACAACGACAGAGTTCTGAAATCATCGTAAGATAATTCAGCCACCTAAATGGCCAGAATTGCTAGAACATAGGAGTTAGCCTCCAAATCTTGGAAGCTTAGCTTATTACAAAGAACTGACACCGATTTGATTAAAAGTTAACAAATATAAAACAGGACTGACCTTTTCACTCTGTTCTAGTGCACTTACCCAGGTGTTCCTGTAGTATCCTCCAGAGATAAGAGCATACCTCCCACAAACCGTATCTACATATACTTACTTAAAGGGTACAATTACAAAGCGAGAGGTAAAAAGCAAGCAGCTTATTTCTCTTTGCATGATATTTAAGGTGGCTGCATGTGTATTCTGGGCAAAACAGAAAAAAGTTACCTTAGAGATGTCACCCAAGCTCTGTCTGTTGAGCAGTCACTGGAATATGGAGCCAACCTCTCACAATCAAGAGGGAGCAGGACGCCAGAAGCAAGTCAGCCTGCAAGATGTTGTATGGAAACGAGTTAGCAAGTGCTAAATTAGCTTTTATTTAGATCTTTACTTGCTCATCAATTCAGAACGTTTGGGAGCACACTTTCCCTTGAGTCTGGGACCAGAATTCACAGCAAGCTCCTTTCAGGATGCAAATGCTCTCACTCATTCCTCTGGGCTCCGACAGATGCTCTTTACCAAACATACCACTGGGGCTGAGGGGATTGCTGCCCCCACCTGCCTCCTCCATCCCTCAGCTGAAGATTACCAACCAGTGGATGGAGCAAAACAGGATGCATGCCCGTTCTTCATCTGGCCTGGTTCACAAGACACTGATGGGTATTAACAAAGAAAGGTTGAAGCGTAGTATATTAAACTGTGACAGCTGACCAGGCACTGCTGCAGGCCCTAATACAAGGAAGGTAGCGTTTGGCAAAGAAGTAGGACAGCTGGTGGAGGAGATAACCTTTCTAACTACAAAAGCTAAATCAGAGACAGCTTATCTACTGGAGCTCTCAACCACGTGTAGTAACATCCTACCAGGATAGGCACATCACATCTCATAACCTTTTTCACTGCTTTTATCAGATTTGGTTGACATAGATCTTCTACTAATATAATTATGGCAGCTACACCTATGTTATTTTTTGAACAGAAACAATTGCACCTATGTTAACTACCGTGGATAGCATTATACAGATAGAGAGGCACTGTACAATAGCAAAGCTTATTCCTTTACTCCCAGAGAAGGGGATGAAACAATTTGTTGTGAATGAAACTGACCACATACTGATGGGTGTTATGCAAAGTAAGAGAAAGCTTAAAGCAGCTTGTTTTTTATACACAGTTAATGCCACTCAAAATGCATATACACAAGCCTACAGAAATAAATGAAGGCAAATGACTTGCACCTTAGTACTATCTGCAAAGTAGTTCGCGCTGATGGGGACTATATAGGAAGCACAGGCACCCCAACACGCCAATTAAGAGAACTGCATCTATTAGAAAGTACATCTACCCGAACAGCACACTGGGAAAGCCAAAAATAACAGCTGCTGCCACATCAGAACAGCACAAGCACTGCGTACAGGCAATGCCTGCAAAACAGAAACTAAGCAGCCATGCACAAACACTTCCTCTTCCTCCCCCACCACCCCTACAACAGCAGCAACAAACCTGAGGTTAAACACTCGCCAGCATCCTGTTCTGCATTCCTGTCACATCAGGAATATAAAAGAGGGAGACTGCTGGCTGCTTCTCCATACATCTGAAGGGTTCCTTCAGTTTACAGCAAGTAATACTAATACTTGACACGATTCTTGCACAGCTTTCTGTTGCATTTTCTTCTCTTTCACTCCTTTTCTCTAGCTCACCCATTTCAGAGTTCACTAGGGACCCCTTGTATTTACTAGGCTTGTTTTTGATACATTCCTTCTCACCAACTGAGAAGTCAGAAATAAAAGCAGTTGTTCCTAGGCAAGTCACATTATATAAACAAGCAAACACAGAGCCACGGCTCTACTGAGCTGCCACACGCAAACTCTGCAAGTCAAGTTCAAATCTAAACCCTGCCCAGCACCAAGACTGATGGTGTGACACTGTCAAATGCAAGAGTAAACAAATCAGGCCACAGTGTTCTGTCAATACTAACTTCTGAGACTATAAATCCCAGCATCAACACTCAACTGTGATGCACGTCTCAAACACGTTACAAGCTAATTCCCGATGAGCAGACTGGGGGAACCCAACGGCAGCAAGTGAAGTGCCTGGGTTACGATGCAATGCCCCAGTAATGGCCCAGACAAGGCCTCTGTCGGATTTTCTATGGCTTCAGTATCTGCATTTCAAACACAGATGGAAGAAACATACCTCCTCTAGAACACAGGCTGTGAACATTCAACTTCAAACTTACCACCTGCATTTCTTATTCCAATGGAAACCACAAGACAGTACCACCCCATACCCCAGCGTGCCAGTCAGAACTCACCAGATCCACAACAACCTTTAAACAGAGAAATCAATTAAAACTGAAATCTAAAAAGACAAGCGATCAAACCTTTTTACAAACATTTGGTGATCCACTGAACCAAAGAGACTGTGTCCTGTAAGCAGATGGTCAACAAACAGCTCCAAGCTCATACAGGGCTCGTCATATCGCACTACTCAAGCTCAACAAGGTCACATTTTCAGTTTGATAATTCTACCTGAAATGAATAAGCTCCGTATGTGGGGGAGGGAAGGAGAGAAGAAATAAACTAGGCAGCTCAGACGGGATGAGAATAGCATGCAATGCATGATTAAGAAGAAATCATAATGCTTGTTCAGAAGGCTAATTAACTGATTAAGGGTGCAGGTACTACTTCAGCCTGGGCATTTTTTGACTTCCGAGTGCTTGCTATTCTAGCCTTGACTTCTCACTACGTACAATGCAATACAGAATAACTTGCAAGTCAGTTGACTTACAGAGTCTGCCATGAGAGGGGATCCCAAAGTACATCTAATTTTGCTTTCTAGAATATTTTTATAAGAAGGACATGCCCAGTACTGTCATCCTGATGATGAAGCACACAACAATACTATTCACAAAAGTAGTAGGAAAGAAGCATGGACACTACTGTTCCATTTAATTTTTAAATGTATGTAAATATGTATTTTAAAATTGTGTTTTTATAGCTAAACAAACATATAAAAACACGTTGTTGCACTGTTTCACAGTTACAGTGCAGGTTACCCTGAACAAGAATAAGACTCCATTCCACCACCAGCCCCATGTTCCCACCATTGCCCTTGCACCAGCAAAATCATTTAAGCACCCACAAAGCTGGGGAGAAAAAAAAAGTCAGTTTGTCTTCAGTTTGACCAGTGCATAAGTCAGGGAACCCTGATTCCCACCTGCACAAACACTTCAGCTGGCACCAGTGACAGGGCAAGAACCTCCTGTTGGTTGCAGTCTATACTTACATGAGCTTAAAGTGACTGTGAAGCTACGCATGGGAGGTGGTACAACCAAAACTCCTGATGACTGGAAGCTGATCCTAGAAACTGTCCCCCTTCTCATCTCAACAGTGAATCATGCTCACTTGCTCTTTTTCTATGTAAGAAACACACAAAACTGCCACAAGGCACCTACTGGATAAGTAGAGTAGAAATTAACCCTAGGAAAGACACACACACTGTTCAGAAGAGGGCCCTACCAGCATATCCTACTCCTTCCACCCCTGTGGTCATCAGAGATTCCTATGGTAATGACCTCGTACACATCAACTTCCCCCTCAAGGAGCCAAGGATCACTTCCCCTGCTCTCCCAAAAGTCCTTATCAGACAGGAAACAAAGGCAACGCCATGAAAAGGAGACTTTGATGAACACAGGCTGTTCATCCATGCACCTGGAAATGGTTGTGCTGAAAAAGCTGGGGAGGGTAAGAAACGCTCTCCAATGCCATCAGAAGAAAAATTAGCATTAGGACAATTCAAAACATTGACAAAACAAGAGTTTTACACAGTTGAAACAGCAACCCAATTTTATCTTGCTATGTACAGAGTTCACACTTAGTCTTTTCAAAATGTACCACTTTCCTTCCAGCTCCAAAACAAAGCACTTACCTTAGGTCAGTGCTAAACTAACCCGGCCACAGAAAGACATTTCTCAACCTCAATAACAAGGAACTGTTACACAGGATTAGGATGTCCCTAACAGACCTATTCAGGGTTATAGTGACAACATCTAATAACCGATATATCTAATTCTAAAACACTTCCAAGCTTCTGACAGAATTTCTGTAAAACAGAAATCAAAGTTCAGTGATATATAACAAGAATACAGTATTTTTCTCCATCAAAAATCTGACCATACGCACATAGGTCAGTGTATCAGCTGCAGATGACAGTTCAGTACAAGGAGACTTGCACAAGACATTACCATATATTATTTTGTGAGACAAGCTACCAACTACGTTTACACAAATAGGCCTACCGACTATAGAAATATTACATTAAGAATCAACAGAGACCCAAGCCCACACCGTTCTGGCACCATTCAGTGCTTCATTAGCAAAGGCCAATCTTGGAATTCAGCTTTGGAAGCTCTGAATACCAAGTTAAGCCAGGTGAACCTGAAGGGAGGTAAAGCAGATGGAGCAGAAACACAGCAAGACAGGCTGAAATGAGAAAGGCAGCACATACTAAAGCATATTACTAGAAAGAAAAATGGGGGCCTCACTGATTCAGAGCTTTAAGATGGAGGGACACCGAGCCCGGCACCAGTTTAAATTCAGAGTAGCTGAAAACTGAACAGGAGTCAGCACCACCTCTCCTAATCCAAGTCCTACTTGGAAACCCCAGGGAAGGTTGTTGGTTACGGTCCAGGTCTGCAGACCCATGAGCACATCCGCCCCCGGGGACTGCCAGGCGTCCTCCGGTAACCACTGGAGCAGCCAGCATTACCAGAGCCTGCCCGCACCCCCTCCTCTGCAGGGGTAGTAGTACGTTGGGACGCAGGAAGGGACCCCAACCCCACCAGCTTCCTCACCATGTTGGTTTCATGTTACCACCGTGGTTTGCCGAGTTCCTTCCTGCACGCTGTTCCTGTAAAGGGAAGGGCACAAAGGGAGGGGACGCTAGATCTGCTTGCCGGGCAGGGCCCCCGGCAGGAGCAGCACGGCCCTGCCCAGGCACCGTGCTGCCCACGGGGCTGCCCTTGTGGAGCCCTGCTCCCAGAGCTCTTCCCACGCTGGGGAACGACCCTCCCGCCCCAGCTCTGCCCCAAACGGGCCTCGCACGGGGAAGCACTGGGTTGTACCTCCCCACACACCCCGCAAACACAAGGACGCGCCTGGCTCCCCCCTTCCACTCCTCACGGGACCGCGCCTGGATTCCACCCCCGTGGGTCTGTCCCTGCCTCCCCCCCGGCACGGCACGGCCCTCGGTCCCCCACCTCACCCCGACTCCTCACGGGGCTGCGCCTGTGTGTGTCCCCCCTCCCCCCG